TCTGATTGATAGAGGCCTATAGGACATGGCAGAACGCCTATAGGCGGCCCTATAGGATAATCAATCAGAACTCACAGAGGCAGTACTGCCGTGTCCTATAGGGTCTCTATCAATCAGAACTCAGAGGCGTTCTGCCGTGTCCTATAGGGTCTCTTATAAATCAGAACTCACAGAGGCGTTCTGCCGTGTCCTATAGGGTCTCTATCAATCAGAACTCACAGAGGCAGTTCTGCCATGTCCTATAGGGTCTCTATCAATCGGCATTGACTCGATGGCTTTGGAAGTCACAAAAGTCCCTGGGTGGCACAATTGGCTTACTGTCAGCAGTTAACCTTAAGGTGAGTGGTTTGCGTCCCCTGAGTGGTGTCCTGGGAGAAAGGTCTGAATTGCTTCTGTATAAAGAATATCTCCCAAACTGGAAACCATTGCTTTCGAGTCAACTCTGACTCGGAGTGACCCTCCAGGACAGCGCAGAACTGCTCCATTGGGTTTCCAAGGGCTGGAATCCTTACTGAAGGAGACACTTAACTTTTGTTAGCACCCATGGGCTTACCCACTGTGCCACCAGGGCACCGTCTCTGTACGATTAAAAAAAGACCAAGCACAGCCACCATCGAGTTGATTCTGACTCGCGGCGGCCCTATAGGATAACGTAGAAGTGCCCCTATGGGTTTCTGAGACTGTAACTCTGTACAGGAGTAGAAAGCCTCCTCTTTCTCACTCTTGGAGCGGTTGGTGGTTTTGAATTGCTGGCCTTGAGGTTAGCAGCCCAAAGTGTAACTACTATACCACAGCCCAGAAAATCTATGTTGTGACACGTGGGGGTTACCCTGAGTGGAATCAAGTGGACAGCAGCGAGTCTGCGTGCTCCTGAAAGGGCTAGCAGACGCCGGCGACCCTCAGCTTGGAGAACCAGTAAAACTTCAGGGAGTCGCCTGCTGCCGAGACTGAGGCTCACGATCGGCGTGAAGGTTGCCGGTTGACTTAAATTGGGTTGCTCGTTCCCTTGTCTCTTGGATAAGTGTTTATGTAGCTCTTCCCTGCCTCCTCTCTCCATTCTATAACCTGGGAGGGAGTGGGAATAGAATCATTCATTTACATTGGCCTCCTGGGTGGCTGTGCGTGTCCGCGTTGAGGGCAGGATCCCAGTGGACTCCTTCCTTCTTAAACAGAGTCTTTGTTTCTTTCCAGGGCTCCGTTTGCTGGGATCACAGATTTCTCCGTCACCAAGAACAAAATCATCCAACTGTGCCTGGATCTGACCACGACCGTGCAAAAGGTCAGTGCCTCAAGGCTGCTTGCTCCATGACAACAGCAGCAGCAGCAAAACACCTGTGGCTTGTTCCTTCCCCCCCTTTCACTGGGTCCACCTGCACATGGGTGCACTTCTCTTTCTCCCATCAGACTCGTAGACACCAAACCCTAAACCAGAGCCACTGCCATTGCGCTAACTCCAGCTCAGAGAGACCTGACAGGATAGTGTAGAACTGCTCCCCACAGGTGCTAAGGCTCGGACTACTGAGACAGACAGCCTCACGTCTCTCTTGAGGAACGATGGGCGGCCAAGCAGCCCGGTGCATCACTCGCTGCACTCCCAGGGCTCCAGGGAGAGCTCCAGCCAACCAAACGCACTGCCTTTGAGTCAAAGCCGACTCCAAAGCGACAGGGTAGGACTGCCTCTGGGGGTTTTCTGAGACTGTAGCTCTTTACGGGAGTAGAAAGCCTCGTGTTTCTCCTGGTGGTTTCGAACTGCTGACTTTTCGGTTAGCAGTCAAATGCTTAACCGCTGCGCCACCTTGGAGAGTCAGCAGTCTTCAAATTTGATGTATTGTAAAAGTGGTTTCGGGTGCAAATGACCAGTGCGTCTTTGAGTCAAAAATTTTTGCTACTCACTTGTGTTTTTAACCCAAACCAAATCCTCTGCCATCAAGTTGAGTCTGGCTTATAGCAACACTGGAGACCAGAGTAGAACTGGGGAGCAGACAGCCTCGTCACGCTCTTTCCGAACCGCTGGTGGGTTTGAACCACTGGCCTGGCTGGGTTGACAGCCGAACACTTAACCCTGGCGCCACCAGGGTTTCTTTATTTTAAACCAGCTGTGCCAGTGTGCCAGTGCCCGCCCTCGAAAGTGTTAATTTTTTTTAAAAACTTAGACCATTTGGAAGAGTTTTCCTGTATAGACTTGAGGATAAGCCGACCTGAAATGTTCAAAATTTTAGTTTGAAAACTTCAGGTCGGCCTATCCTCGAGTAGATAGGTACTTTACTGCAGTCATTGCCCTGTGTACGGCTGTGTCATTCTCCCTCCTGTCTGAGTGCTGGTTCATGGGTGCGCCAGTCAGGTTGGGCTCGGTGGTGAGCCGTAACTCAACTCCCGCTTGCAGTGTTGATTCCGTCGTTCCATGGTGGGCGGTCACTCGGGTCAACTGCTGCTGTCCTTCAGCATCGGGGCTGACAGCACAGCTCGTGTGCCAGTCCGGAGGGACGAGGAGCGTGGGCGTTTCATTCCGACACATGTCCTTGTTAGGAAGTGAGACTCATCAACTCCACTCAAAGCGCTTCGGCCAGACTCTAGTATCTTAGTGAGGGCCTGAGGCATGTGCCCACAGTCCACCTACTACTAAGCCAGCTTCTGCGGCCGTCCTTTCGTTTTTTATTAGTTTCTTATCAAACTATCGGCTCTTGTGCTTACTCGCCAGCTGTCTTAGCCCCTGGTCCATCACAGACATTTACGGAACATCTTCTGAGCTGCCTTCAAGAAAGTAGGTCTACTCGTTCTTCTTTTCATGCCCCGCTTGGCACGGAAGATCAGTGAGTCAGTGCTTGGTAGGTCTGCTGATGTGGCAAGTGCATTACAATGAAACCTACCTTGCCCGCCGTGCCAACCGTGCCCTAAGATAAGAGGTGACCCCGGTGAAAGCTGAGCACCTTCTTTTTGGAACATGAGGAGTGGCTCTGGGGGCTTCTAAGCCCCAGTCCTAGCAGCCTTGGGACTCCGGGCTCCTGTGATGTCATCCTGTGCCCCTGAGACCCTCTTCACAGGAAGGCACTCGGAGCCCAAAGTCCCCAAGTTGCTCAGTATTATGAAGCACAAAGTCTTTTTGACAGAACGGTGAAATGCCAGCTATGATGTATTAATCCCACTGAGGCTGCTCCCTGGTGTTTGTGTCCCCCCACGCCCCCCCCCCCCCCCCCCCCCCCCCCCCCCCCCCCCCCCCCCCCCCCCCCCCAGCGACACGTGGGGCTTCCTTCTTTCTTTGTGGGGGTGCACTTTTCCCCACAATATCCTGCTTCTTGTTTGGGTCATAAGGAGCCCTGGTGATGCTGTGGCTTTAAGAACTAGACTGTTAACTACAGGTCTGTCGTTCAAACCCCACCCTGCACCCGGCCTCCAGGTTGGCAGTTCAAACCTGCCCTCCTCACTAATGTGGAGTGAGATGAGACTGCCTGTTCCCATAAGGTTGATCGTCTCAGAAACCCTTGAAAGTGAGAAGGACTAGAGGCACGAACTGGAGAAAATCTAGAATTGCGGCCTGCAGTGCAGGCTCCAGGTAAAGATTGTGACAGCTGGTACTCCCATAATTTGACTTTATATCAGAATCGGGCATGCAAAAATACATTTGTCGAGAACACAGCAATTCACAACACATGTATTTGTTCAGGGAAAAATGACGTCTCTGAAAGAACTCATTTGCTACTTTTTCTTTTTCACCTCTACCCTACTTTCTTATAGTGACCCTATAGGACAGGGTAGACCTGGCTCTGTGGGTTTCTACGGACTGTAGAGACTGAAACTCTTTACCGGACTAGAAAGCCTCGTCTTTCTGCTGTGCAGTGACTGGTGGTTTTGAACTGCTAGCCTAGAGGTTAGCAGCTGAATGCATAATCACTAAGTTGAAATGAATTTGATAGCAGTGAGTTTGGTAGTTTTCAGTTTCTTAATTCCCCCAGCCCCCAGCCCCCTTCACCAACCCCCACCCCCTTTACTGTACTGCTCAGGAGCTCCAGGGCTGGGCCAATGGTTAACTCTCCTTTTCTAACAAAAGTTAGGCTGTACTCAGGTAGCTCAGAAAAAAGGCACGGTGCTGGGGACCTAGGAGTGGAAACCCCGTGAAGCACAGTTCTGATCTGACAGCCTGGTGGGGGAGTGGGAGGTTACTGTGGATGAGCGTAGACTCAGTGTCAACTGGTTTTCTGTACAAGGTTTTTCTTCTTTATAAATTTTTCCTGCTAGGTTTCTCTCTTTTTTTTTTTTTTTTAACGTCTCTTGTAATTTTATTCACATCCAAGACTGGGGCTCAGGAGGGGAAGGTGGTTTCTCTCTTTTTGAGAGAGTGCAGATTTTACAACCTGCAGAGGAGCTAGGATCTTTTCCCATGTTCATTATTCTTCTTTGAATCTAGTAGAGGAAATGAAAAATGTAAGAAGACAACAAAATCCGATCAGAACATGACCTAGGGTAGCAATTCATGGCCTCTCCCTTCTGGCCCCAGTTGTCATTGCAAATGAGCTGAAGAAATCACATTAAAACAAAACAAAACAAAAAAAATTTACCTAACAATTAGCAGCAAGTTAGGAATGTAGGTAACTATTCTTTGTGCAATACCTATATATGCCTTTCCCCTCGGATGCCCCGGGGTGGGCTTATCCATCCAACCCTGGGGAATCCAGTTAGCCTTACTTCACAAACTCTGTCTGCTCCCTGCAGCACTGGTTGGAAGCCTCTATTCTCAGAGAAGTTTCAGAAGGTTCGCTGTGAAAGCTTCACCCTGGTGGTTTCCACTCTGGGCAGTTGAACAGCAAGGATCCCATGATAGGCCCACAGGGTTCCTGCAGGCTTCTGGCTCCTTCGTTCTGAAAGGACTAAGTAGTAATGCCCTGCATTCCAGCCCTTTATTCCGTGTCATTGGGAGCACCTCAAGACCAAGGGTTTCCCCTCTCCTTGGCAGTGTGTTAATGAATGTTTTGTTGAACCCTTTTCAATCAGGACCAAAAGATTTGATTTAATCTTGGCCTTGCTTCAAAGACACTTTGGTGGCTAAGTTTACCCCAGCCCTTATTGGAAAGCTATTCTTTTTTTTTCTCCCTCATTTCACCATTTTAATAGCTCAGTTGCCTGAAAGTAGCTTCTTTTATATCTCTCTCTTTTTTTTTTTTTTTAAACATTTTATTAGGGGCTCATACAACTGTTATCCCAATCCATACACACATCAATTGTGTAAAGCGCATTTGTACATCGTTTCTCAAAACATTTTCTCTCCATTTAAACCCCCGACATTAGGTCCTCATTTTTCCCCTCCCTCCCCGCTCCCGCATGAGCCCTTGATAGTTTATAAATGGGTATTTTGTCATATCTTGCCCTGTCCGACGTCTCCCTTCACCCACTTTTCGGTTGTCTGTCCCCCAGGGAGGAGGTCACACACAGTTCCATGTAATCGGTTCCCTCTTTCCTACCCATTCTCCCTTTACCCTCCCTGTTTTGCCACTCACACCACTGGTCCTGTAGGGCTCATCCGTCCTGGATTCCCTGTATTTTCAGTTGCTATCTGTACCAGTGTACCTCCTCTGGTCTAGCCAGACTTGCAAGATCGAATTCGAGTCATGGTAGTGGGAGTGGGGAGGAAACATTTAGGAACTAGAGGAAGATTGTATTTCTCATCGTTGTTACCTCGCACCCTGACTGGCTCGTCTCCTCCCCGAGACCCCTCTGCAAGGGTGGAAAGCCATTCTTGCAGGCAGACCCACACCTAAAACCTGTGGGGTCCGGCTGGCCCTAGTACTGAGCGCTGCTGCCTTTGGGGGACCATCCCAAGGGTCTTGACCCGTTCAGTCTGGCTTCCCACCCTGGGGGCCCTTGGGGCCGGCTGTCTGCTCACTGGTACTTCTAGGAACAGCCAGGTGGGTGATCCCAGAAAGGATCCTGCTGGTATCTAGGAAGAACAGAACCTCACGGGGGTGGAAGGGTGTCAGCACCACCTCCCAGGTCCAGCTGCTCAGGTTTCAGGGGCTGGGGCTGGACAGGAAGGGCGGAATCACCCTCTCCAAGATGTTTTACTTAGCACCTACTCGCCACAGCGCTCACTATGCCATGTCGCCTGATGCAGCCTGCCGTCTTTCCTGGCTGCCTTTGGCTGCCCTTCCTTGGGAATTTACTGAGCCTTGCTCGACCACCTGAGGAAGGAGCCCTGGTGGCACAGTGGTTGAAGTGCTCCACTGCTAATCATGGCCAGGGTTGTTCTGTGGGAAAGCAACGTTGCTGCCTGCTTCTGTTGGGATGACAGCCTTGGAAACCCTCCACGGCACATCTACTCCGTCCAGTAAGGTGACCAGGAGTTAGAATCAACTTGATGGCAATGATTTCAAAGTACGTATCTATTTTAGCTTCTTAGGGTTTGCGGGAGTCTCAGGGTGGGTCACACACTGGCTGCTAACTGGCAGGTTGGGCGTTGGAGGGGCAGAGGCAACGCAGAAGAGAGGCCTGGCATTCCCTCTGCAGCACAGTGCCACTCTGAACCGCTCGGCTGCCCTGAATGGGGATTGACTCACTGCTCACTGGCAGCTGGCTTGGGTGACCAGGAGGAAGTGACCCCCCACCCGGCCTGTCCCCTGTGTGCCCCACCCTGTCCCCAATAGCATGCCCTATGAAACGAGCTCTGTCTGTGTTTTTTTCTTTTCACAAAATCTCAGTGAAATGAGACATAAGCTCTTTACCACCCCCGCCTCCCCCCCAAAAAAAAGGAAGTGGCGAGACGATCTCACATGGTATGATTTTCAAACTGTTCAAATAAGAAAACGGCTTCTCAGCGGGAGGGGATGCTGGGTGTAGCTACGCATGGCCAGCCCGGGAGAGTTGTCCACAACACTGACGCCCCTTCATTCTCCCCTCTCTTCTTTAGGACTGCCTTGTAGCGGAAATGGAGGATAAGGTGCTGACCGTCGTAAGTATGCGTCTACGTTACTGTCACATTCCTCTCCTGGAGTGAGTGGCGGTCACACTCCTGAGAGCAGACACCCAGCCAGCCGCTGCGGACCTCGGGCTGTGCCCCAGAATGTAGGCTTTGGGGGAGTGGCTCTTATATTCAGTGAAACATTATTTATCCATCAGGCCAACCAGTGTGAAGGTTCACGTGCAGAATGGTGGCTCAGTGGTGGAAGATGCTCGGTAGCATCCAAATCACCAGCCGCGCCGTGGACGAAAGATAGTGTAGGCTGATTCTGCAGAGATTCACAGCTTTGGAGATTCGTTGGGGGTGTTTCTACTCCAGCTGACGGCATCACCACGAATGGGAATTGATGGCAGTGGGTTTTTTGTTTTCTTCCTCCCTAACGATTTCATCTGGGGACCAAAACCAAACCCACAGCCATACAGTCCATTCCAGCTGTGGTGGCGGTGGTGGTTGGTAGGTGCGGTCAAGTTGGTTCTGATTCACAGTGGCCTGATGTCCAGCAGGACGAAACTGCCTGGTCCCGCATCATCGTCACAATTGTTCTTCAAGTTTGAGCTCAGTGATGTAGCTACTCTGTGTCAGTCCGTCCCTTAGTGAGCCGGTACAGGGCCTCCCAGGCTGACTGTCGTATTACCAGGGCAGACCAGTCCCTGGAGGAGGACACCATGCTTGGTAGAGGGACAGTGGGGGGTGGGGTTCGGGGTGGGGAAGGAAGGCTCTCAGCAAAGGATTGACACCGTGACTGCAACGATGGGCTCAAACGGAAGATTTGTGGAGATGGTGCCAGACCAGGCAGTGCTTCGTTCTGATGTGCATAGCGTCGCTCTGAGTCAGAACGGAACCCTGACCACCTTCACCAGCACCAGCACCACCACCTCCACCACCATCACCACCTTCACCAGCACCAGCACCACCACCTCCACCACCATCAC